ACTTGGGTTTCACTCCTGTGATACTTTTTTCTTATATTTTTGTGCAAGCTTCTACAAAATTTTAACTTAAATCGTAGGTTAACAACAAAGGTGAATAAATAAAGGAGCCAGATGAAAATACATTATCTGACCTGTGCACTTGATATATGTGTGCAGTGGAGTAAATACGATTAGTGGCGTCGCATTGTAAAAACAATTAAGCCACCTACTAAATAACATGCAAGGACTAAAGTCAATAAATAATGAGTAATAGATGCAACTGAATGCTGAGTAGATAGTTAAATCATGTTTATAAGTACTAATAAACCTAATCATATTGAAATAAAATCAGTTGCAGAAACTTCTGACGACACTGGAAGCGCAACACGGCCGTAAATATGCTTTCACGATTATCTACTTAGCATACCATACTAACTTCCTTTCTCCTGTAGCTGTTTGTACTTGTCTACGACAACTCAGACTATCAAAAATTGAAAACAAACATTGCGGGCACGCACTAGTCACTGTAATACCTTATATGAGTTATCCTCTAATGCTCTTGGTTAAATAAATGCGTCATTTTAATGATATAACGGTATGTAACCTTTCTATTACTAAAACGATAACTAAAACTAAAAACCACTTGATGAGTCAATGCTAGCAATTACAGACGTGTATCCAGTACCGCATCATCTTCTTCGTAATCTCCTGTTGAATAACAAAGCAACTCATTATCATGATACTTTAGTTAACATTGTCGCCTAAAACAAATAACCAAGAGTTTTGGAGTAATGAAGATATATTTCTTCTACCCAGACTGATAAACGAGAAATTAATGCTCCAAAACTTTGAATTTTGGCGAAAATGGAGGGTGGCAAAACATACCTTCGTCTGCAATCAGCTGCTGCTGTCGTGAAGATTTATCTTCCGCGGACTCATCAGCCTGCTGTGGGGATTCCCCACATGCTCCTTTTGACTTCTCGTCTTCCAGTTGCTTTTGGTTGGGTTTTTCATACTCTCCTTTTGGCTTTTCAGTTTCCAGTTGCTCTTGTTTAGGTTCCTGATTCTCTCCTTTTCGTTTTTCTTGCTGCAGTTGGTCTTTCATAGGTTCTTCATGGTCTTCTTTTGGTTGTTCATGATCCAGTTGCTCTTTCTTAGAATCTTCATCGTCTCCTTTTGGCTTTTCTTGTCCAATTTTCTCGAGTTTAGGATCCTTATGGTCTTGTTCTCGTTCTTCTTGATCACAATTAATTTGCTGCTTTTCGGTTTCTTCAGGGTGTTCTTCTTTCTCCTGCTCATCTTGTTCATTTTCCTCTTGTTGCTGTTCACTTTCGTTTTCATTTCTTTTCGACTTGTTCTTCTCTTTACTTGCATCCTTTAGCTCATCAGGCCCTGCATGGTCGACGTTCGGTTCTTTTTCTTCTTGTTGTTGAGTGCCCTGTTGTTTGGATTCCTGGTCGTCTCCTTTCAGCTTTCGCACAGGTTTTTCATCGGCTTCATTTAGCTCCTGTTTTTCTCGTTGCGTCTCACTTACTTCTTTGTTTCCCTTTGAATCTGCTTGATGATCTTGTTCAACTTCCTGCTCTGTAGTTGATTCTTCATGGTCATCTTTTGGTGCTTCGTTTCTTTTAGATTCAACCTGCTGCTGTTCAGTGGGTTCTTCTTGGCCTCGCTCTGGTTCTTCGTCTTGTTCACGTTTAACTTCCTGCTGTTTAGTCGCTTCTTCTGGGCCTTGTTTTCGTTCTTCGTCTTGTTCACGTTCAGCTTCCTGCTGTTCAGTCGCTTCTTCTGGGCCTTGTTTTGGTTCTTCGTCTTGTTCACGTTCAACTTGCTGCTTTTCAGTGGCTTCTTCTTTTCCTTGTTTTGGTTCTTCGTCTTGTTCATGTTCAACCTGCTGGGATTCAAAAGGTTGTTCATTGTCTTCGCCTGATCTTGCATGGTGCTCACCATCTCCTTGTTCTTCTTGCGATTCATCCTCACTATCGTCAGTGCTCCCCACTTCCTCTTGGTTTTGTACTGTGTTCAATAAAATAAACACAAAAAGGGAATAAGGTTAAAAAGTGTTTCCTCTGGTGGTTGTAGTTGGCCAAATCGCCAAATTTGTAAAACGAACTATACCGTGCTTTTTGCATTTGGTAACCGCATCGTGTAACTTCTCCGTCCTCAATCATTTACGCTCCGCTTTTACTCTTTCCGAATATCTCTTAATACCTTATTAAAACCATTATTTGAAAACTTTTCACGGTCGACCAAACAAGTAGCCTATGTTGCCGTGCGTCTGTTCATTCATAGATAACATATGACGACAAAATGTGGTAACATCAAAAATGTGGTGCACTGGACTCAGCCGATTAAGTCTCCGATGTTCTTAGCCCATTTAGATTTTTTATGTGAGTGTTTTATGACAAAAAGCGAAATATTGTTAGTGGTGAAAAAATCTATAAGTCTTCCCTCCACTAAATAATAATTGAGAATCAGTCAAAGTAGGATTAAGCATATTACATAAAGAAAAATTACAGTAATTAAATTGACTCAAAATCTGTAAACTTCAAACTGGAGGCTAAATTACTTTTTACGCGTTTCTTATAATGGCAAAAAGGTCGAACCGAATTGCTTCAAAGTTACAACAATGCTTTTCTTTGGCTTTTCTGTTTTGCTCTTGGTTTTTGAATGCTAGGTATTGCGTTCTGAAATTTGTTTTAGTCTGTGGAGAAGTGAATGGTGCGTACCTTCTTCGATGACTCTCATCTCTATTCCCTGATCTTGAACTGACGGAAAAATACAAGCAAGCGGACAAAACATCAGCAATAACAAATTATTCATTCATGAGGCAACGTCTTTTTTTATCATTTGAGGTTGAGTCAACCTATGCGTTTAAATGAAATACTCAAGCTCACGCGCCACTAAATACATAGATCTGTTTGTTTCTTATTCATATGGGTAACCAAAAAGTATCTCTTGGCTTACGAGCCGATCTGATTGATTAACCCACGGTATATCTGCTCTTAAACCTGTTTAAAACGTAACTTTATGGCATGAAACCAAAAAATTAAAGAACGAGAAAAATACTCCCCAGAATGATGAAAGATTATTTAAAGTGTCAAAAATTACCTTCAACATCTTGATTTCGGCCGAGTTTTGCCACCAGATAATCCCACAATGGTTGGAGTTTGGCTCTGATGACTCCTCGGACCTTAATACATCGAAACAAAACACGAGGTTATAATCAGTAAATAGTGCTTCCTCACCAGTTTTTAAACCCTTCGAGTCTTTGATTTCCCCAGGAATGCAAACTACGTTTGCGCAGCTTTCCAGCCACTCTCAAACCGAGTGCGATACAATGAAAACGTGCACGTTTTACATACAGAAGAGAGTTCTGAGGCAAAGGGATCTCAGAAATGGCGGAAATCAAGTTTACCAGCTGATATAAAATACGGTAAAATTATACACAGTGAGACACTTCTTGGCGGTTCGTGTTTCACTTATTTATTCTTGTCGAATTTAGATGTGATCTGTGATCTGAGAGACATGATATAAATGCAAAATTTAACTTATTGGCTGAATATATACTTTTCCAACCGCTCAAGTTGAGAGTACATGTACCTGTGGGGTAGACAAGGTGTAAAGAATGGGATTGATGGCAGAGTTCACCGGTAAAACAAAGACTGCGATCCAAACTGCGAGGTCACCAGGTGTACGGAAGGATTTTTCCAAGAGAGACCTCATTCCAATCGCCACAATAGGCAGCCAGCAGACACAGTCGGTAAGAACAATGAAGAACACTCTTTTGGCGAGCGAGGCCTCCCTCCTTAGATCGGCTGCCCTTGACTTGGCTTTCATTCTCCTCTCTCTTTCGGTCCCTTGCTTAGCCATGCGCCTGTTTGATGCGCAGGACTTATAGATTATCATCGCATATGCCACAACGACAAGAGCACAAGGGTAAAGTTTAAACCCACAAACATGGCAACAGAGTACTCCCAGCCCGACGGCTTATCTGTGGAAAGCTGCAATGGCAGACATACAACTGATCTGCCATAAAAGTGATGACCTTTCTGGCGACTACCGAAGTAGTCGAAGCCCACCGTGGGAATAAATGCAATTATGCCACCAACAATCCAGATAAGGAAGCACAAAAGATGCGTAACCTTAAGTGTAAGGGACTTTCCCCGATAGGGGAACAGAACATTCTTCATCCGGTCGGCGGAGAGCAAACAAATCGTCATTACAGACACCTCACTTGACAACACGGCAATGGCACCTGTTACCTGACATGTCAAACTTGAACGCCAGTAATAGTCATGCAAATAATACTCCCCTGCCCAAATGGCATCCACCACACCTATAGTTAGGAGGTAGACACCCATAAGTCCATCGGACCCAGCCAAATGTATCAACATGATGGACTGTATCTTGTTTTTCTTCTTCGTCTCCCTAAACACCAATCGCCACACAATGACAAACACAGCACCAACCAACGACATAATTCCAATCACCCAGAGGCACTCCCTGGGAGCTCGATTTCTGAACAAAGTTTCACAACTGGCGAAGCTGTCGACATAAGCAAAGTCGCAATCTGCATCCTCCTTCGTCAAATGGCAACACATCAGGTTGGTGTCTACAGTCCTACGGTTCATAAAAAGAATTCAGATGAACAACAAAAGGGAAAAAAAAAGACAAATTTGATCCCTCACGGGATCTAAATTTGTAAGAAAATGAAAGTGTAATAATAATAAAGTAAGCGCAGTATAACTGAGCGCGGGCAAATGAAATTTTTCAATTTTAAACTCCTCGCGTGGAGAACATTCCACTTGACTTACGCAGTTATTAGATTCTTCATGTTTGTGAAGAAACCCTCCGGCAGTTCTCGCATTTCGTTGTAATGGAGGTACCTGCAAATTAAAGGAAAGTAATTCAGGCAAACTTTGCTCGCTAATTCTTGATAACATCGACATCTTTAGCCTATTAATCACAACCATTACAAATTCCTGAAATGTTATTGGTGCATCCGCAGCTTCATTTTTCACTAATCATTCTGTAAAGTTATAATAGGACGGTTTAATCGGACAGTTGGCTGCAATCGGAAACCTGTAATCGGACAGTTGAAGCAACCAATCGTACTAAGTCCACTCAGCTAATCCACCCATCACAGAAATGATCAAAATAATCACAGCAACAACCACTCATCCAAGGGAAAAATGGGGGATTTCCAAAATGGAGGAATTTTTAACTAAAGACATTGTCTACACTGGAGATATTTGTTTTAAGTGCTTTTTTTTTTCGGAAATTCAAATGGCTATGATTAATTGGTAACAGGACTTCTTGTCGTCCAATTCTGTCCTTAATCATACTCGTGATTAACAAATCGGACTCTCGCCTCGCGGTCGTCCGATTTTGCTGATCACTTGTATGATTACAGACCGAATTGGACTCCACTCAGTCCTATTACCGTTATGTATTAATCAGTTTTTCGGCTCTCTCTTGTTCCTTTTCCTTCCCAATTCTCAACAACTATTCGATAGAAAACTAAAACAGAAGACGAGCAATTTGTCATTGAGTGTGTACGATATACTTACACAGGCTATGCCAAAGTGACTTTATTTGTTATACTGATATGCTTTTAATACTGCAATGAGTATCTGATGCACTCATTTCGAATTTAGGATGGGTCGCTCATTACAGAGAGGGTACTTTATGCGGAGGGACCCTTCCTTAAGTTTTTCCCAGACTTTTTCTTGTGACCAGATATGATCGTCCCAAGGAGTATAACATTTGGGCGTAAATAAAAGTATAACCTGTGTATTAGTGAACAAAGCCGATCCTAACTTCTAGTATATCAGTGGTAGTATGTATGTGAAAATCGTTTACTCCAATTTCCCTGCCTAAGCAATTCGGCCAGTGGTATGATCACTTGTCCATCCTTTAAAATGGGGGAGGGGCGCTTATCCGTGAGTTTACGGCACGTGAAGGTCGCACCAACAATATCTGTTTTCCTTGAACTCGAAGTAGTTTGAACACACCTGGAATATTACCAGTTTACTCATACTCACAGGAATCGAATACTTGGGGCGACATCTTTGAATTGTTCGTTGCTAACGGTACGGATATTGTTGAAATAAAAGCTCCTACAGAACGATGAAACAATGAAAAGCGTAGAGCGTCAACTGACAAGCATTAAAGCGTAAATTAAAACAACACTGGACAGAAAATTAGCCAAGAATGGAAGGCAATATCTTCCATTTGTTCAAAATGTTCTGCAACGAGAAAAGAACCTCACCGTGCATTAGACAATGGGTCATACAATAATGTCACATAAGTATTTTTACGAATTTTCACATTACTAAGAGCTTCTTCAAAGTCACAGTTAAGTTATCAAGAATGAAAAAAACATTCTCTATTTAAGTTCCAGGGCCCAGTTGTTCGAAGGCCGATTAGCGCTAACCCAGGGTTAAATTTTAATCTAGGTTTCTATTTTTCTCTGTTCAAAAGCTGTTTGAGGATAATTTTCTCCATTTATTTTCAGAGCATTCAATCAAAAAATTGAAGACAAAAAGATTTCAGCTGAATTTTTTTCTTCAAGCTTTCAGATCTTAAATCAAATTTTATACTAATCCTGGGTTATCTTAACCCAGCTTTGAACAACCCGGCCCAGATCTATTTCTATCCGCGTGGCCGATGCCAATTTAAATAACCCCATGAGTATTGTCATACATATCCTCAAGAGGTTTTCGCGGTCGAAGTCTTTGTAAACTCAGTTTTTGAATCTGGAAGGGGATACCTTAGCAGGATTTTGTTTTTGGTGGTTAAAGAGACCTGGTGTTTCCCAAGGTTTTGTCTGATTTGCCTTTTGGTAGTTCTCTCTACCTCTAGTAAATATGATCTCTTAGTCAGCCTGTTTTCACTTTCACTATCGTAAATATTTCGTCGTCCATCACACATGGTTTTGATCAAGGTATGATCTGTCCTCGGGGGTAGAAGATTGTCCATGTTTTTGGTGTGCAGCTTTGTGGGTCTCTTGATCTTCCCCAGCGGAGTTTGTCTTAGATAACGGAGATTCCTAACATTGCTATGATTGCATCTTCACGAGACCCTTACTAATTTTACAATACCTCGTTACCGTTAATAAGAGGATAGTTTAGAGACAGATACTTACATAGACATCATGTTTTTCATGCCTTTAAAAACTTCATGTGGCAGGTAGTCAATATTGTTTTCGTAAACAGCCCTAGAACAACATAGAGGGCACATCATTATTATCAGAAATGTAGAAAAATTTAGAGGTAAGCACGTATTTACATAAACTTCCTTCTTATCTTCATTGATTCTTAAATGCCCTCTGCCTACGATATCTTCAAAGCTATCCGATATTGAAAACATAATAAAAAGGTGAAAAGAAAAACTCACAGCCAGGGATGCGTAAAAGTTACACTGATATGCAGTTTGCGGTTACCTTGCTGAAAATGTCAAAACTTAGCGCATGCTTATATTTGGACTTCTAAAAAAAGAATTTTTTTTAACTGATCTGTTAATTTTTTTCGGGGGTGAGGGAGAGAATTGCTACATCTCTAATTCTCTTCTTTTTCTGTCTTTTTCTGGAGAAATCCGAGGTGGCAGTCGTGTCTTGGATGGATGACAAAGAATCTTTTTCAGAATTCTGCTTGGGTTTCTGAGGTTCATCCAATCAAAGTACACTAGCTTCAAAATTTAGCGAAACTTTGAGCAAAAGTGGTGGGAGGAGGAAAGAAAGGTCTATTCGCCCTATTGAGTTGGTTAAGTACATATTTGGTCAAGAATAGTTACTTGTGCAGTCAGATATGATTTCTATCGAATGTTTACTTACAGTTCTTCCAGTTTGGACAGGCCTTGGAACTGATCAGGTGACAGGTGTACGAGGCTGTTGTTATACAGGTATCTACACAATAAAATGCAACAGACGCTCGGTATAATTACAGTCTTTGATGGGGGAGGTATTATTGACCTCAATGATATTTGGTAGCACAGAAGTGACTGCGAAACTTATTGATTCTTAAGTAACCTTGACTCAGCATAATCTTTGAGGACCTCTAGAATAATTTAGTCCCGAACCCTGTCTCATATTACAGAAACTGTTTCATCCTTAATTAAAGTCAGTCGAGTTAAACATGCTCATTATGAAAACCTCCTTCGAAAGCGTATTAGCGCCTTGGTATTCGGTAAACTGTTCTACTGCTCATCAGTGTGCTCCAACACTTCCTGAAAAAACATTCCATAAATGTATTTGGACCAAAACGTTGACGCGTGCATCGTGACAAGAACAAATAAGTTCCATCGTGTTACGCCCTCACCAAAAGGATTGTGCTGGCCACCAGGTAAACAATGGTTAAACCATGGTAACGCTACTGTGACATTTAAATGAATCATCGGACGTGCGCCCATTTACTTTTGCAACCGAGTAATTGCTCGTATTTCTAGTCGCACCACCCGGAATTCTAAGCTTTTAATTTGAACATCTCTTTTCTGGAACATCAGGAAAAGCTGCCAGAAAAATGTAACTGAAAAACTGGAATTCATAGATCCTGTGTTTTCATTTAAATCCCAATTAACTCAATATTGACGAAATCGTTTTGAAAGCCGCTAAAGAATTTTAAAACATTTTTTTTTCATTTTTCAATAAAAATAACAATCGATCGTTAAAGTTTAATTTGGGTTAATCATCAATCATCAGCGATCATTTCTAGCATATGGTCCTTAGAAAGTCCCAAGGGGAGGGTGCTGTTAAAGTATTGTAGGGGATGTGTTGTATTATATTTTGTTCTATCACCTTAAACATTTGAACCCTGGTAATTCTTAGTTGATGGCATCTCTTTCCAAAGTGGATGTTTATTTTTAACTTTTTACTCAATTAACATCCTTAAACAAACTTTTAAGTCACAAGAAGATGCCAGAGAAATAGTCCGTATCCAAGCTGATTGGTTGGTTGAAAAATGCTCATTATACAAGACACGTACTGAGCCAGTTATATCACAAACGTGAATCACTTACAATATTTTTAACTCGGAGAGGTTTTTGAACCTTGGTAAGCGCTGAAGTTTGTTACTGGAGAGTAAGCTGTGAGCGATATATAAAATGAAAAAAAGTCAGTTGAAATAGAATTTGAGATTCTTAGAAAGGTTCTTGTTCTCTCCGAATGGGCATGAAATAAAACCCAATTGGTTCTGGCAAAGCTATTTTGAAGACTTACAAAGTTCTGCTCAATTTTTGCTTAGTACATAAACTGTTTACTCCTGATCCTGAGAATTTAGGCCAAAGGTACTATTTCCACATTCACTGTAACATGGGCGTTTTCATATAATGACATCACTTTTCAATACTAATGCACCAAACTATAATAAGTCACTTACATCACAAATCAATCTTAACAGAGTTCCCTGGTTACACAGAGAAAAAATTATAGTCACAAGTCTCGTGAAGCAAAAGGCTGTGTGAGACAATTGAATTTAATATTGACCTCTTTTATTTTAGTTGTTCTCGATGACCAACTCCACCAAAGTTAACATTATATAAAGCCAGTTGAGCTGATGGAGTTTACTTTGATACGCTTCACGTAAGAGTCACAAATCTAAATTTGCGAAGCTCTGTTTCTAGAATGGTCATAATTCATTAATTTACTTAAAGCTCTATGGAAAACTGTACATTATAATTTGCTTCGCTGTGAAGTTTCTACTGAATGCCACTTACAGCTTTTCCATCCGGGTAAGGTTGCCAAAAACATCCATGGGCAGATGCTGAATTTCGTTGTTTGACAAATCCCTTAGAGTATTTATTGAGGTAAAGAGTTAGCTAGCTTTTCAAGAACATAAATTTTATTTGGAAAATAGGCTAGGCCTGCCCCTTAAACGTTTCTCTTAGGAGCCCGACAGGAGCCAAACCGGATAACGAACAATAAATACCAGTTGTTTTTTTTTTAATAAATTAGGAAAGGAAAAGTTTTTCTGTCTGTCTTTAAAAACATCAAATATAATTAAGAATCTCTAGTATGAAACAACTGGACTCAACGGACATATTTATTATATGCTTAAAGCTGACAGACCTTTCTTTAAGACAATAATGGCAGAAAGACCTCGCGCATTAATGCGGCATCTATCGCAAAATAACACCTGATTCAGTAATTTATTCCAAATGAAGCCGCATTCCAGGCGGAAATACGCGAGATTTTCAAATAATTTTAAAGGTTTAGGTTTGACCTGTTTTTTTTAAGTACAAAGAAAAGTCCTACGTACAATTCTTTCAGCTTGGTATTTGTGCTAAGTATCCCTCGAGGAAAATTCTGCAACTGATTGTAGGACAAGTCCCTAACATTTGTAGAATGAGATGATAATCAATAAGAAAACAAACAAAAGAAAAAAAGAGCCCCAGATAACAAACTACATTTCCGAGGGATATATATTTTCAAGTTCTTCCCCTGCTGTGTGCAACGAATTTATTTGGAAGACATCGGGAAAGTTATCTTGAGACGAATGTCAACTCAGTCATTTCAATCTTGGATAACTGTTTCGGAAAAATTTCTTATCTGATAGAATTTATTCAGTTGCAGTTCATCAAGTTTTCTATCTAATCATCTAATTAATGAAAAGAGGAACCTATTTTTAAGTGAAATGTATTGGCTTAAACTTGTGAATAGGTCTTCACGTAAGTGTCTATCTCTTGCTTCCGCCCTGTAATTTCTAACTTAAAGAATTCCTCTGAGAAAATAATCACATTTTTCGATCCAATTTTTCTTCGCTTTTACTTTTTGTAAACAAATCCGCCTTATTCGACAATTCAACACAGTTATGATACGGGCGGGTGTTGTGCGAGTTTTGTAGTACTATTTTCCGAGTTCCGCGAGGGCGAAGAAAAAGCAAGGCATAAACAAAATGTTCGATCGTATTATGTGTTAAACATCGAATAAGGGATTTATCATTCCACTACTGTTTCAATTTCTAGTATTTGGTTTCTGGTTTTCGAAATACATCCTTCGGCCTCATCTGAGCTTGGTATCGATCGCATAAGGCCTGAGCGTTAGACAGATACAACACGAGAGAAATCGTCAAAGTGTTACAGTGAACAAATTACAAATTCTGGAGCGCTTGAAAAAAGTCAAGGTGTGGATCGTTCAGTGTGGCCATTTTTTTACTCCGCTTTCCGTCCGTATTTCCCTGTGTAACACTTAGCATATTTCGTGTGCTCCGTTGCCCTAGTATGGGCGGCGCAATTGTAAAATAATTATAATGATCACTTTAAGGGCCATTGCACTATTTTCAGGCAGTTGCTCGGGTAAATTCAGTTGGATATAATTCGACGTTATTTTGCTGATACTTAGCTAACTTTGGAAAGTTATTGAAGTCCGTTAATGACGTCAACACGACACGCCCAATGTCATGTGACTCACAATAAAAAAAGGCTACGGTTCTCTTTAAGTAAAGGGTAAGAAACTGCTGCGCTTCTTGTGCTTCTTTATTGTTCTTGCAGCATCTGTAACGTCTTGTTGAACAGACGCACAACAAAATGGAATCCATTTGTTAGTGAGAAAGAGGGAAGAGGTAAAAATCGACGGCTCAGAAATGTTTCTTCTTTTTTTTAACTTGCGGGGATTTAGTCTCCCCCTCTCCCCTCTCCCCTCTCCCCCTCTCCCCTCTCCCCTCTCCCCTCTCCCCCTCCCCCCCTCCCCTCACCCCTCACCACCACCCCACAAAACTCGTAATCAGAAAAGCTCTGCATTCCCAATCACGCCCATTGACCCAGTAGAACGTTCGACTGATAAACAACTCTGCAATGGAGTATAATCACTTCCTTCATTAACGTTGTTGAAATACCAGTTACCGGTTTCATATAAATTTGAACAGCCCCTTTTTGAACTACTCCTACACAAAGGCACAAAGGCTCAAAATCCATGATCGACTGGTTCAGTTAAGAAGGAAAGGTTTTAAAACCACGTTTTGAACGACTTGAAAGCAATAGATCGCATACAAACGCAATGCACAAAAAAGAGATGTCCTCATTGCCAAGATTTACGGAAAGAAATATCGCAAAATTTTTACTTACAGTTCCTCCAAGGCGAGCAATCCTTGAAGAATTTTTGGAGGCAGCTTCTCCAGTCGATTGCCACTCAACCGCCTACATTACGAAAACGATAAAAAGATCTAAATTGACAAAAGATACACTAAGGGTGAGTTTCAGGGTAACAAATCGGTAATGGAATGTCAATTGATTCTCACATAAAAAAAATTGCAAGTGAGACAAAAGCAGAAAGCGAAGACTGAAAATAGAATTTTGTGTTAGACAGGGCATTACTATCTACAATTGCTTAAATCCTTTGAGGATCAGTTTGTCACTCACCGTTATTCCTCTTTTTTTTTACAGTTATTTAGTTTGAATGCGCCAAGCCTTTGGCGATAGTCTGACAACAAGTTTTTATTTGACTCGCTCTCGTTCGGAAACGACCTGCCGTCATTGATTAAAAGATTATCTGCTTATAAAGCTAAACCAGCAAACCCTCTCATTAAAGTAAATGTAATCGGTTTTATTTTAGGTCTTTTTTTTGCTTCACCCTTCTACCGCCTTTCCAATTAAGAACGATTCAAAACTAGTATTGCACGCTCTCCTGAACGGGATCGCAAATTTCACATCAAGGCGTGAACTCTACTACAACTCTGAACGGCGTCGTTTTCATCGACCGCACAACTCCGGCTTTCAGGTAGATCTTTCCATCATAGATTTTACTTTCTGTTCTTTTCACTTCCCCTTCACAAAGTTGAGTTTCTTAGATGCATGTGGTACCTTTCGGCACAATGTGAGGGTATTTCCGAGGTGATACGACACTGTAGTCGACTTCTGACAGAAATATAGTTCGTATATAGTTCGTAATAAAAACCGCCACCATCATCAACTCTATCCCCATTTTTGGTCTCATTTATTAGTTTACTATTAACACAAAGTCTGAATTAGAGCGCAAACTTTTCTTCGTATCCTTCACTTTTAGTTTATGGATGTTAATACAATTTCTCGTCCTTGAATACTATTATCATTATGTCGTAAGCGTTAAAGAATGAAAGTGCAAACTATTCTTCCGAAAGAGCGCTGTTCTCCATATGCTTATAGTTCGCGGTCAGCGTCAGCCTCGCTATGGTACTTGCGCGGTTTCTTTTCCAAAATGACTCCGGGAATTAAATAAGTTACTCTTCGGTTTTTGCTTTTAACTCGTTTTTCTAGTCATCTAATGCACCACAACTAATTTTTGTTAAACAACATAGTGGTTCCAAAAACCTCGTAGTCAGCCTAAGGTAATATCGAATATTGCGCACGTTCATGAAGTAACGTGCCACAAAACACTACTCTCTAAACAATCAGTGATAATTAAAAGATAGAAGCATTGTGTTAAACACCTTTGTTTGTCCTCTTGATCAGAACCTTTGATAGTTGAGCCTGCGGGTTATAGTGGAATTTTGCCTTTCAAATTATAGAAGTGTGTAATGCATTCGAAGTTTCCACGCTGAAATATTTTTCATTTCTTTAGTGCTGGTCATGTTTATATGTGAATAAATGAAAGCTAACAGGCTATTATGTCATAGACAAATTAGAGCAAATAACTTGACAAATATTATTTTAGAAGGATACCAAATCACTAGCACTCACAAATATTTTAACTCATCTTGCCCAGTGAATAGATCTTCAGATAAGTTTTTTAAGTTGTTGTTTCCAAGCCACCTGTAAAACGCATTGGAGTTGAATACCATTAGTATTTGAAAAGACTTTCATTCTCTCTGCTGACTAGAGCCTGCAAGATGCTTAACTATTTGCCTGATGCTTGCATTGTAAACATGCATCTCCTTTTGGAAAAACTACCGTACAAATGTGCATAAACTCATTGACTGCTTAAACAGCTCTTTTTGTTGTTGAGTCCAGCAGACCAAGTACATCTACTCTCGTGTTTCTAATGACAAGCCCTAAGAATCCGCCTAGCAGGATTTAGTTAGTCTGGCGATTGACTAACGGAATTTGCTCAGGTGAATTTACACATGTGCTTGCTGTTTGTCAAGTTTATTGGGTGGTTAGTATACATTTACATGGTCACAAAAGAAAGTTCGTAAAGGGTTTGAGTTAAAGAGGGTGAAACTTTGAATAAAAGGACGACATAGGAAGAATAATCGAACTAAGTCAGTGTTACGAGTGTCAATGTAGAGCAGGGTTGTTCCTAGACAAAACTCAGGATCGTCGGTAACAGCAACAAACTGATTTATTTCCACGTAGTTGACTTCCTCACTTTACAGCACTAAGCTTCTTCACAATTTTCGTTTTTTTTCGATGAAACTATCGTTCTTATATACATAAAGTCCAAGGATCTAGAAACTTCTCCAACGAACTAAATTTAGTAAGTTAACACGGTTTCTAAATCTGTGTAATTACATAAGAAATAGAACGTTCCAGAATGTTCTTATGCAAGAAGGTCAAGTCTGGATGACTTCGGGTTCTAGACTGTTAAATAGAATGTTCTAGGACTTAACTTAGACAACTTTTCGTAACAGTCAGCGACAGTCAACTTTATTAAGCTTTAGAGCAAAACACTTACAGATCATTTAACTTGAAGCGTTTGAATGTGTCAGAAGGAAGTGTCTCCAGTTTGTTGAAGTCTAGGGTTCTGCATAAAAGATAAAGTTATTTTCTCGACGGTCCTAAATTGTTCAGTTTGGAGCGTTTGAATCTCTTAGGATTCAGCCAAAGATGAAAAAAATACGAGTGTTAACATTGGAAGTCAGAAATATTTGAACACAAGCGCTCATTTCTTGAGACTAAAAACGTGCAATGTTAAGAAGCTAATTACAGTTTTCATTGCTTTGGTAACAAAGTAGATTCATTCCCCTGTATTTCAAATTAACTAGACCATGTTATAGTTCAAGTTCGCAAACGATTTCTTCCTACACAGATGGCACAGTGAAGGGGTTAACTGTTTTTTCCCGCCCATCAAAATCTTCCGATGCTCTTAGCCTATCAATCACCATGCCGGCCTTGCCAAAATTTATTTTCTTTCCTTAAGGATATCATAGAAATTCACCAGAACAAAAGGTCCTTCTACAGAAAGTAGCATGTTTTTGATGGGAAACTTTTAGAACCAAGTATATTGTTTTTTTGACAGAGGTTACTCCCTATGTGTTTCGTAGCGCCCGTTATCCTCTCCACGGTACCAAAATGCCCACAACTGATGAGAACTGGGCCCCGATAGACCTTAGTAAACCATTTGCTTATCTCTTATTTATGTTTAGACGTCTCGTTTTGTCGATGGATGTATTTAACTAATTTTAACGAGTCGAAATCTCAAAGGTTTTTTTCGGGTTGCATAACAAACCATCCAGGCTTACTCTAATTTAGTTTGATTCTTCAACAGAGTGATGAATCTCTGAAACAAATTACGAAACCAAGCGTGAAAAAAATCAATTGAATAGCGGAATGTTGTTGAGACAGTGAAAGTTATTTCAAACTTTGAATGACGGATCAACACAATTGATATTTGCTTATCAACGTCAAATTTTATTATTCGCAGAAAGTTTTGAACGCGTGAAAGTAAATAACGGTCTGAGGCTATGTTGAGCGCACTTCGCTCACTGTCACTTTTGCTATATAGGGCAATTGACCCTTCCCAAAAACAGAGGCTGGAATTGGAAAGTCATCGCGATTATAAAAGAATCCTTCGTTCCAGCAATTTTTTTGTTCCCAAAGAAAAAAAGACATTCGAATCAAAATGATCTTAATCATCTGAGAAATAACACTAAAAACTTGTTCAAACTCTCACATTAAGGTCAGAAAAACTTAAAGGCGGCGGAGGCTATCAACATTTCGGCATTGATTTCCATTTACAAAAGTAGCACCATGAAAATACCAAGAGCCATCGACAACGTTGCAGTCAGACTAAAGAAAAATTTAACCTGGCCTGGCCGAACGAGGGTTGGTAGATGTAAAATTTCATATAAACGTTCGGTAAAGTTTTCTCCGCGAGGTGGGGGAAGGGTTCTCTCGTGTACTCGAGACTATATAAATGGGGCCTAAAACACATCTGCTGAAAGAAAAGGTTGTAATACAATAAAATAAAGTATCCTAAATTTCCTATCAAGATTGAGAGTTGATGGTTTTATTTATAGTCCCCGTCATAAAGAAGGATCTGTGGCTTGAATTTTTTTAGACCTTAGATATGGTAGAATTACTTACTCAAGCGGGGAAAGATTCCTGAGCCACAAAACTTACAGGTTTTTAAATTTATATTCCCACCAATGGGTTTTAGGTAGTTGATCAGAGGAAAAGTTCTTTATGTTGTTGTTGTTCAGGAAACTGCAAAGGTGAGAAGGAAACCGTAAGAATTAAAAAACAAATGGGTTAATCTGATTTACTTTGTACTGTTATTGCTAAGCTGAAGATAACAAGACTTGTAACAAGATCAGACATGTTACTGACCACTTTACTGAATACGAGCTATAAGTGCTAGTGATAAGATGAGGCAGGTATTCTCTCTATCATATTCACTTCTGTTTTTAATATTTTTTTATCTTAATTATTTGCCACTTTATATCCGCATGGGAACGGAAATTTTTTGTACTGATTGCTAGTCAGGTAGATGGACAGGTTACTGAGCGCAAAAGTTTATATGAACTGGACTAGTTTGCGTTGAAATCATGATTTCGCCCGTGATAAGTATCCAGAAATTATTTGGTGTGGTTAGGATAAGATTGCCTATTGTTTTGAAATCTTGGTGATTCAAGATCGCCATTCAGGTATCCATCGGCTATAAGACGACGGAATACATTCATCCGATAGCGGATCACGTCGAAGCAGAAATAAGCAAATTTTTCAAGTGGATAAAGACCACCATCATTAAATATCTATATCGGACCTGTAACTTTTCTTTTCTTTCCCTTTTTTTTCTTTTTTTTTTTTAATTACTATCAGTTTTACTTACAGTTCTGTCAGGTTAACGGTATTGTTAACTATCCCTCGAGGCAAAAATTGCAACTGATTATAGGACAAGTCCCTAGCAATAATATAAGCGGGGAGCGAGGTGAATAGAACAAGTCAAAAGTTGCAGTTCACAAAAGTTTTGAAGTAATGGGACAAATTTTCTCAACTAAAATAAGTTTTCAGGTGCTATAAATAGATGTTATGCCCACTATTATGTACATCGACTTTATTTGAACTGTATCAGGAAATGATCTCGATATGAGTGTCGACTTTGACCTTTCCATCGAAAATTATTGTATTTCTCGTCAAATAAAATTTACTCAACAACACTTTACTGGATTTTAAATCAGACATGGTTTGATGCTACTCTAGTTTAGACATCTAATGAATTTCACCGAGAAGTTACAATTCATAGACCCAAAGTTTCGACACTCTTGTCTAGTGCCTTCATCAGAGGTGATCTAATCGCTACAACAAGACGTCCTTTAATATGCTCACTAATCAGCTACCCCTTTTTTTGACGAGGTGTAAATAGGCGTCAGGTAGTAAGCCGCCCTCATCACGATTTAAAGGAGCGTGGGCGGAGTTGATATGCCAGGCTTCCAAACAAAGGCGATGGTGGTAACATCGATTAGTGATGATAATTTTAGACTTATCCCACCCAATTTGTCTTTTTTTGTTTGCGTATGCAATGCACACACCGCTGTTTAGGTTCTACGTGTTATACCTTTATTGCTCCACCCCGGTCCGGTGGTTGGTACTAATAGTCGTGTACTTTAACTACTTTTGCTTTAGCGCCAAGAGTCACTTGGGTGCCTTTTTTTCCCCAGATGCACCTAATCAAGATTTTTTTTCTTTGCATTTGCCCACACCAAGTCTAGCTTTTTCAAACGTCTAAACGATAATCCTGGCAGCTTTTCACCCCACCGAACATCCGTTATTCATCTATTTTTTTTAGCGATGTGTCAGGTGAGAGGGCAAAGGTCGAGTTCCTCGCGTGTACTACTCGCACTCGCTCCTCGTTGTAAAACATTATTTTTTTAGTCTCTAAGACCTATTACCAAATAAACTTTCTTTAGTCTTTGCAATTAATTTTCATTTGGACATTCCTGTGACAAATTGCACAACAGAAACCGAAGAAATTCAATAGAATGAGTAAACGCAGTATTAAATTCCCGTGTGTCTGATCGAATAAAATGTCTCATTTGACTTCAGCTTTTCGTTGGAAAAAAGACAACTTTGTAAACGCCACTGAGTTTGGTTTGAGGCCAGCCTCTAGTTCTCGTTTGGCGGGTAGCGTAGTTTGTGAAGAGGGGAGGGGTAGAATTAGAAGGTGTTTTCTTGCTCGCCGTGAACCATTTTTTCTCCACCGGTTACATATTTTCATTTGCAAGTAATGGAATTCTGCGGAAGACTGTTTTATTCCCTCCCCTCAATCGCATGAATGTTACAACAGTAAATAAAGATTTATTTTGTTTGGTACTTACAATCTACGGAGGTCTGTAGTCCATTTGAAAACTCCCGGAGGTAAGTTCTTCAACTGATTATTGGACAAGTCCCTGTCAACAAGACAACATTACATCAGATAGTTAGATTTTCAATGTTAAGGCGATGTTTACCATCGGCTTATGCCAGTAGTGAAATAGTAAGTAGAAGAGTCTGCAAAACAACGTATATCGTGCAGACATTCTCTCCAGAGGTCATAGAGAAGAGAGACGTGTCACAATCATAAATTTTTCAAAATCAACGCCTGCAACATAAGCTTATCTTTTTAGATTTTAAGTTTACGTCATGATCGATTTGCAGATAGTTGTTTTTCAAGGGTATTTTTCAAAATTGCCATTCTCGATACTTTCTTTATCAGTTACGTAAAAACTAGTCTCTAACGGATATTCCATTTTATTCTCAGAGAAATATGATTCTTTAAGACATCTTTCCAATTCAAAGTCAGCACAGTCCCACTAGGCGTGGTGATGTATTCAGCCAACATTCGTTGAGGTCACTACACTAACTTCCTGATTACGAAGGCCATATCATTTTTTAATGTTATTTTTTTTTATCTATATATATATATCTATTTATTTATTAACTTGTCTTTTTTGTTGGTTTATGCAATGCACACTCCGCCATTTAGGCTCTTTTTGTTGTACCTTTTTGCCCCACTTCTTTTCGGTAGTCGGTACTGAAAGACGTGCCCTTTAAGTACTTTTGCTTTGGTGCCAAGATTTTGTTGTGTGTCTTTTTCTCCCGCATATAATCAAGATTTTGTTCTTTACATTTGCCCACATCAAGTCTAGGTTTTTCAAACGTATAAACGATTATCCTGGCAGTTTTTCACCGAACAACTTTTATTCATCTATTCATTTTTTTCCTTTTGCGATGTGTCAGGGGAGAGGGCAAAGGGCAAGTTCCTCGCGTGTGCTACTCGTGCTCGCCTGGGAAGCAGACACAAAAATATACGATGCGTAAATCACTGTTTCATACTGCAGTCCACTCTTGCTCGAATTAAAGCGGCATAAACTCCTCAATTTTTGTCCGGGTTGTTCACTTAATCAGAAAAAGCCCGACTTCAAAACGTCTCGACGAATTACTCTTATTGAAATTGGCAGTACAGTATACACGCTACCTAAGTGAGACTGATGGCATGACCTGGCTCATCATCCAAAAATTAATCAGCCTTTCATAACACCAAGTCTTCCTCAAAGCAGCAAAGAAATTTCTAAGGCTCACAACATTAGCTGATATTATTTCGCACGGAACCTCCAATGTTACTCTTTATTAAAACTCTAGAGCCTTTCTCAGTGCTTTAGGAAGCCATTGTATCATTATAAACGAACCGATCTCATCGCCTCCTTCTCTGTCCCATTCTGTTCTGTTGTCAGACCAAGGGAAAATGACTCTCTTGATTCAGACCTAATCAACCAATGTAACTTTCTCAGACCACATTTTCATTTTAGTTTGAAACAACACCTTCATTCCCGATATTAAGAACATTGGTTGTACTTAGGCAGTGTTGATTCAGCTTCTAACCCAGAACATAGTATACGAACGAAAGTAGACTGGATATGCAAAAACCAATCACGACATGGGCAGAACAAAGCTCATCAGAATCAAAGTCTATGTTTCAATCCTTCCTGCTTCTTTTCCTTTTTCTTTTTCTCTCCTTTTAATGTATTCGCCGATGCACCATTGACATGTGTTTTACATAGGGGTGGTTGTCTGCGGCTTTATAATTTGGCACCACCACATTTAAGATCGATTTTTAAATCACATGAGTTCACTGCCTAGTTACTCAACAGGAGGGTCGTTCCTGGTCTGTTACTGCTGGTGACATGGCTAAAAACGCAAACACAACCTCAGGCAACTTCCCTTCATTTGAAATACGTGGTTTATTTTACAGAAATTCTCTCATAGACTTAAAAAAAGTAGGTGTTTGTTCCAATGTACCGTAGTCCCCACATCTAAGAGTTCAGTCCAGATTCTAGAATGTTGTCTTTTGAGGGTATCTCTGTTAGCTTCAGTCTTAAATCATCAACTTGCATAACTCAAAAGCTACTGGTGTATGTATGCATACCTTTACCTTTTCAAACACATTAAGGATTTGAATTAAGAAACAGAATTCCAGTCCTTTTATACATCTGATGTTATTTAACAATCCTTTATAAATCATTGTGGCTTTTTGCTTCTGGGAATTGAAGCATCCTTATGAACATTTTGAATTTAACAAGAGTTTAATTCGTGTGTGGCTGAAACTGTTATCATGAAACCAGCTTGATTACATGGCACTACTTTCTTAGTATTTTGTTATATTAATATGGAAAACAATATGAATGATTAATAAAGAGTTAATCAATCACATTGGCTAGCAGTAATCTTGGTAGCCATTGATTCCTTTTATCATTCATAACTGTTAACAAACATTCATTTGTAAGGTCAGCCTCTTTATGGAAACGTTTGTACTGTTTTCAAGAAATGTTTTATAAATTGGGTTTTCCCCATGGTGCCAGGGTGTGGCAGTCAAATCATTAATCATGCTTTTATTTTTCTTTTGTTAACTCATTTACTCCCTGAGTGATTGATATGTGACTTCTCCATACAATTTCAAACTGTTCACAGAAGCTCATAAGAAATGGAAATGTGACAGATGAGAATTTCCAGCAGGAATACTAATATACCACCAAAATTGATATATGAAAAGTGTGGTGAGGAGGTAATTTGACAGTGCTCACATTAGTAGTCTGTGAATGGGTTAACTAGGGGGTTCAGTTGTAATGAGACATCAACAGGAAAGAAAGTACAGTATCACAATAATTTGCTTTGATAAGCATTTCTGAGACGCAAACTAGAAAAAGTAAAAACGTGAGGTATTTGTTCACAATAACAATCAATTAAATTTACTTCCTGAAATCGCCAAAACAGTTGGTTCGTTTTGAAACGCCAAGCAATGATTTAAGGTATACGATCTGCTATAAATACATTTTCGTTGAGTCTTTGTAAGTCCGTTGAAATTTGGACATTTCTATTGTAAATTTCACAGCAGAAACCAAGGGAATTCAGTGGCATGAGTAAAGGCAGCATTAAATCTCCTTGTGTTTGATTTAAGTGTCTCATGTTACTTCAGTTTTTCGATGGAAGAAAGACAAGATTTGCACATGCCATCACGGTAAACAAACGAACAGCCTCTCACAACTTCAGAACATACATTTGAATTTCTTACACTGACTTTCTTTGTCACTTAAAATTGAACAAAGGTAAATCAACGTGAACTAATCGTCGATGAAAGTGACTATTACTTTCTTTATGATCACTGATTTTTTTTGAAGAAAACATCGTCGTAATAGTCATTTGTCAAAGATTGCTTGGAAGCCCTTTAAATTTAACCTTATCTTTACGCAAATAAAATTGTATCGGTGAAGCCTTTTCCTTTGATTTGCATCACCTCTTCCTTCTATACTATCTACCACTAATTTTTCAGTTTATAGCCAAGAGGATCTTGCCGTAATTGCAGCCCTAAATTATTTGGGTGTTTTAAAAAAATGAAAATGTTGTTCATCGCAGCCTAGGCCGATCCT